AAAAAAATGGATGGGGATCTTCCAGTGAAGGCGAAGATATTACTTCTACATGGAACAATGCTGCTCCGATGGATGATGTCCTAGATGCAAAGGGTGAAAAGGGTGTTTCAGATAATCAGATTTCCACCTCCGAGGGGACGGATGAATACGATTCGTTCCCCTGATAATAATAATGTGCAGAGTGCTCGAGGAAAATCGTGGCGCTTCTGAACGCTAAGCAATTAATTCTTCTTTTTTTCAAATTGTGCGAATTCTGATATCAAATAGCTAATTGGACTATCCTTTGATATAAACTATGAGTATGATTTATGTCTAATATCTATCTGTGTACTATTTCCAGTTTTAGCTTTACAAGCGTTTCTCATCGGACTTTGGTTGCTTTACAACCCGTCCCTGGAGAAATCGAAAAGGTAGCATCCACAGGGCGCGGAGAAGATTCCCTATTAGTCGAAGCAGTGAGAACTCCATGCGACAGACCAGTCGCATTGCTGTACAAAAGCAAGCGTTAGATATAGCCAGGTAGGTTAGTAGTAGTGCTATTACCACAAGTAATCCAGTGGCAGCTAGCATTGACCACCATGTAAGGAAGGTCTGTGCTAGGTGCTCGAAGTCTGGTAAGTTGATCTCTGAGAAGATCTCACTTTCTCCAGTCAGGACGCGCCAAGCGGCTCCCTCCAGGGTTCCGGTGTAATGAAGCAAGCCGGTGATTTTGAAGAATTTGACTATCGATCCACATTTGATTGTACAATTCCGATAAAACAGTGCTCTATCGCTAATAAAGCTTATATTGGTTTGTGCTCCTTTATCTGTACACTTGACTGTGAATGCGTCATCTTCACATTGAATCTCTGCCCATGTCGTTGGTGTAGAAGATTTGCATGTGATTAGAGCCTTTGCTCCTTTCGAACATTTGTAGCATCCATTACAATGCACATCCTCGCTTGTACACACTGCTTGTGATCTTATCGCTGTTGTGTCGAAATTTCCTTTGATGCGTAGGACAAATTCTGCTGTGGGAAGTTGCGGTATCCTAGACACAACCGTCCCGTTTATTGGGTGTAGTTCGAGATTCGGTCGCAGTACAGGTAGTCTGTACCGTGATTCTCGAATATGCGCTGTGAGATTGACTTCTTTGCAGTTGCAAGTCATTTTTACTTCCGCTGGCGTGCATTTGCAGTCTTCCCTGATCTCACAGGTAAAGTTTGCTGCGCTCTGAGATGAGTTGCATACCAGTGGAGGTGTTAGGGGTCCCGGTGTGATTGCGATCAGTGTACCGTCTGTGAGGAAGGTTGTATCCAACATTGGGGTTGGTGGTATACTGATAGATGAAAGCGTGATAATGAATGGTGGCAAACCTTTTGGTTGGTTCGGGATTAGATGAAAACTGAGGTCTTGTTGAGGTTCGTCCGCTTTATTGATATTCAACTGTAGGTCCACCACCGGTTTCCATCGGTTGCATTTGAAAAGTTCGTAAACCTTTTCGTCATTTGGCAGCAAGTAAATTCTGTAGAATAAACATCCAGAACTAGGATAAAAGCAATCACAACCTGGGCCACCGCAGCTTTCCACACATCCTGTAATGCCTGGGAAGTCGTTCGCTCTGTGTAGTTCTGCTATCTTCGAAGTTCGATTCACCTTTCCGCATTTGGCTCCTGTGCATGATCCAGCATGTGGGCATCTTTTGCTGTCTAACAGTGCGTATCTGGTGCTTCTCGAATACAGTATTGTCTGCTTCTCACAGATCAGATTGAGATTTTTCCATAGCAACTTCACTTCCAATACACTAGCCTCCTTGTTTCGTAATCGAATGCATGCTTCCTGCTTGAGGGGATTGATTTTCAGGATTTCTGTTGTGTCTATGGTGCAATACTCCTTGCTCCAGGTTTTATAGCAAGATCGGCTGTGATGAGTGAAGATGTCGACTTCCTGGCATGCTTGCAGCGGATTTGTATAGATGATGGCGAGGAGAATGGCTGCTTCTGAGAAAGAAATCCTTCTTCTACGCTGGCGGTGAGTTGTTGAGAGTGGTGCTGTGAAGAATTTCCATAGAAATTTGATTAGTCCTTTCAGACACAGTCTCGTGATTTTCAGGAGATAAATTAGTGGCGTTCCCATCAGCACTGGTACGTGGAAGAGACAGTAGCACACGGCTACTCCTGCGTAAACTATGAGTCCTGTGACTAAAATGGCTGTCCGCGGCCAGCATTCTGGGTTTGTTATCATCACTGAGCAGAAGACGCAGTCGATTTGTCCACAGAAGGGCGCTGCTCTACAGGTGATTTCCATTATATTTACGTCTGTGCCGTCGAAGGTTTTCCATTTAACAAGGTGATCATGGAGTGTGATTTGCGGAGGAAATTTCACTACTTCTTTGTGTTTTGGGCTTTTGAACTCCACGCAGTAGTCCTCGGCGCAGATTTCGTATGGAAGTTGGGTGAGTTGTGTTAGAATCACTCCTCCTTCACTGCATTGTAGTGAATGGTTGCTGTTGTTAGGCGATCCTGTTGCCATTCGTATGAAGATGGAGAGAAACATCATCGTGAACAAGGAAGTTGCTGAGGTGGATGTATTTTTTCTTCTTTGCGCTGATTCTTCTGTGTCCTGTTCCTTGTAATTGATGTTTTTTCTCGGTCGGAGATTGTATGGGCTGGTATTCTTCTGCGTCTGAGCTGTGGATGGTTCTGATTTGTTCTGCTGGGCTGTGGTTTCGTCGTTATTACTGTTTATTTCCAACGGCACGATTCGATTTATTGGACGCCGTAGTCTTCTTTTATTGGGTGTTTCGACGACGACCTCTCTGATAGGTCTCGAAGGTGAGTCTTCAATTTGTGCTATTCTTGCTGTTTTCCATGTGTTCCTTGGTTGAACTGCATCCCACAGTAGGACTATATCTCCTATTTTTGGTATCCTTTTTGCTCCGCGTTTATCATCCATTCGAATTTTATGTTGTTCTCGAAGACTAGTAAGGTACTGCTCTCTCCATATTTTCCAAAATTGTTCTGTGAGGTCTATTGATGTTTTGAGTGCTGCTTCTACTTGTCGTTGTGTCGCCAGCTGCTGGGCCTCTTCTGGGGTATGATAGATCTTGTCTTTTCCTTCTTCGCCAATGTATTTTAGAGGGTAGTCTAATATCATGTTCTTTTGGAGGAAATCAATTGGTCGCAAGAGAGGTTGTTCTTCCCACTTTTCTTCCTGATATGTGAGTGGCCTCGAATTTAGCATCGCTTCTATTTCTGTGAGCATTGTTCTTAACCCGTCGAATGTGATTGTTCGCACTCCAAGCGATTTATACAGCGAATTTTTGATGGAACGTATCAGCCTCTCGTAAAAACCACCCTGCCACGGTGCATAAGGGGTGATGTGATTCCATTTGATTTCTCGCCGTGCAA